TTGATTTTCTTTTCACATCTAGATCATGTGGCACAAGATGCATCCATTTTTAAGTATTGAAATTGATTTTCTTTTCACATCTCCACAATTTTTAAAACATTAGTCTAGATCATGTGGCACAAGATGCATCCATTTTTAAGTATTGAAATTGATTTTCTTTTCACATCTCCACAATGATCGACCGCACTAGTCTAGATCATGTGGTACAAGATAACACACTAGTCCAAATCATGTGGTACAAGATGCATTCATTTTTAAGTATTGAAAATGATTTTCTTTTCACATCTCCACAATGATTGACCACACTGGTCTAGATCATGTGGTACAAAATGCATCCAATTTTAAGTATTGAAATTGATTTTCTTTTCACATCTCCACAATGATTGAGGTCGAGATCATGAGTTTCAACATTTTTCTAGTGAGATTTGAATCCAACTTTACATAGCATTGGTCTCATGCTTGCTTTTCCTAAATAAAAATAATTTGAAAAAGTACTATAAATTATCAATTTGCCCTGCTCTTTAAAAAGACGGTGCATGGTATCCTCCCATACAAGGATATTGTACATCTACTCTGTCAAGTAAAGACCTGATTAAGGAATGTAGAATTTTTTATCCACTTCAAAATCACTATGAATATTCCCATAAAAAACCAGTCTTGAATTCTTAATCAGATAGATCCTCCCAAAATTGAAGATCTCTATTTAATTCTGGAAAGCTTTTTTTGTTTTGCAGAGGCATAAAAGGATGTATGATTTTTTTTTCAGGTTCATCGTGGCTAACGCATGTTACATACCCAAATTTGGGGTCCTACAGGTATTCAATGTTGCACATGTATTCTTCTGGCAAAACACCTATTTGGGATATTTTTCAGTCTGAAATTTCGGGATCCACCAAATAATTACTAGATGATTATTTTTAAAAGAGTAATTTGGTTCATGTAAGTATTTTCAGTACAAAATTTAGAGCGCGACATGTTCAATCTCGAGATGTTATTTTAGGAAAATATTGTGAGAATTATTTATTTAGTTTTTGAAAAAAGTTTATATAAAGTATCTAATCTTGTAGTATTGAAATAAAGCATACCTCAAAATTCTATTAGAAAAGGTTGCTATGATGCTAGAAAACCATTTGTTTTTGAAAAGGAGGTGGGCATTAGTAATTAAGGGGGTTGATACCTCAACACAATATCCCACCCTCCATTCCTACCATTACCATATATAAAAAAAACATCGATTAAATCATCTTGACATCAAGATCTATGTATATAAAAAAAACAAAAGGTTTTCAAGTTTTAGAAATAGTACATCTTGTAACATATTATCAATAGTACATTTTGTAACATATTATCTAGATTGTCTATCTTCAAGATTTTTTAATGTTTATAGATCTTCTCAATTTTAGAACTTTAAATTTCTTAAATGCATGTGAAATTAGATTTTCTGACCATAACTTTAGTTTTTTGCACCAAAAATGTATATTCTAACGCACTTTACAGGTGGACCTTATTTTGATTGTTTAAGTTTAACAGAGTGTACAAAATACTCATTTTTTTTAAGTTGGAAAATGGTTTGATAGGCTGCAACCCAATTAATATAAGTAAAGCCTCACCTCACAACTCATTGAAATTACAATTCAAAGTACTAAAAAACCTTTACATCGATCATCTCCGCTTCAGCATTATAGTTGTAAAAAGTAATGTATATTGTAATTAATTATCTAGACCATCTATTTCGCCCTAAAAATAAGTATTCATACATCTGCAAGCTATATACGAGTTTCAAATTTTATTGTTCGCGTTCAAAATTGATTTTTGAGGTAAGGCTTTATTTTGTTTTCATAACCACGGAGCTTACCTCCAAAATTTGGATTCCTAAAAGCTAAACGATTTCATGCTCCCATGAGGGTATGGTTATCCATCTACTCCCTCGGGTGAAATCCTTGTTTGAAATATTTTCTTTAGATCCCAAATTTTGGGAAGTAATCTTTAGATCCCGAAAACCCCAGTATTGCACACGGACAGTTTAACTTTTGGAGGAGGGTGCGGTTTGCATGAAATTGCAACCCTAAAAAAATCGAAGTAAGGTTCAACTCCAAACTTAGGCATGAAATGTAATTTTGGTGTCGAAAAATCTAAAGATGGTACGAGAATTTATTTTTATATTTTATTATAATTTCAAACTTCAAAATAATCCAAATCAAGAAGGTCTATAAATGCATGAAAATCTAAAAAATGGACTTCATAGATAATATATGATAAAATATACTATTTTTAGTTCGAACCTTATATAAACTTTTATCAAACTTAAAATCTAGTTTTTATTTAAAAATAATCGATCCCAATATTTTGAATAAAAAATTTATACACTACGCTCCTGCGGGAGCATACTACATGCCCTCTTCCTACAATGCTCCTTTCCCCGAAGGAGTAGACGGGAAAATATGTTCCGGTGGAGCGCTAAATCTTGTGCGGTGTGCACTCGCGGGAGTATATGATTGGTAGCTTCAAATCTCCATTGCAATTCCTCTTGAAAGATTTTCAGAGAGAGAGAGAGGAAGAGATGGGTTCTCTGTCGGGCGACATGCCAGATGATCCGATGATCAAGATCCTTGCAGCGTTGCCTGTGAAATCCATCTGCAAATTCAAAGCCGTATCCAAGTCTTGGGAGAGCTTACTGTCCTCTCACCACTTTGCCATTAACCACTCTCTCTCTACCTCCCATTCCCTATCTCTCTCTCTCCATTACCAAAAATATGGCTCCCAAATGTTCTGTGCCAGTTCTCAGGATATAAGCGATCCTCGGTCCTACACGAAAACTCGGTTTCAGCATCAGGACCTTTGTTGGGTGGCCTGCAACAATGGTATGGTGTGCTGTCTCATAGTTTCGAAAATGGGTTCCTTCTTTACTGTTGCAAACCCTCTCATACAGACAGTATCCATCCCCATATCAAATCTAGAATTCCATGTGTATGACTTTGGGTTTTACTTTGAACCCATTACCTTAAGCTACAAGATATTGGTGAACATCGATCGCAAAGTTGGTGCCTTTTTTATCTTTGACTCATCGGTTGGGGGATGGAGGCCGCCCAGAAACGAAACACAAATTCAGTTAAAGGCCCTGTTTATGATGGTTTGTGTTGGTTCCACTTGCTATGGAATTTCATCAGAGGAGCAGGGGGAGCGCCTTATAATGGGTTTAGAGATGGAGAGAGAAGAATGGGAAAGTATCCAGACTCCAGCAAAGATTGTAGAGGAAGGATTCTACAAAATCCAGGAGAGGGATGGTCGGCTTTGTCTAGTACAGGTAATTCCAGATTCAAGAGCACAAGCACAAATTTGGGTATTAAGTGAAGGGAAGAAGTGGACGCAATTGATGAATTTAGATTTGAAGCAGTTGGGGTGGAACAAATTGGAGCAGTCGGTGGTTGGGTTCGCTGATTTTCTATTGTTTCCACATCTCTGGATTGATGACCGATTACTTCTGGGCATCAAGCTTAGCGAGGAGGTCGCTTTTAATGATTTGTATACTTCGGACTTACAGGTGGTATATAATTGCAAGAGTGGTCAGTTTGGTGAAATTGTTGTTGATGCTGATATCAGCTGTGTTCTGATGTATAAACCCACTCTATTCACTTGCCAGATTGAGCCATACGGAAAATAAATATGGGGTAGTTTGTAAGGTAGGGTTTTACTCTGTAATTCTGTAATTATACTCCGTAATTCTGTAATCATTTGTATTTCTAATTCTATGTCGCTGGAGTTTGGCTTGTATTTCACCTCTAGAGTTAGGGTGATGTCCGTGAACTTTTTTTTTTTCATGGATCAGTAAGCTGGATTGAACCCCAAGCTCAATGTTTTAAACGGAGACTGCCTGACATTTGAGCTATGGGCTCAAACTGGGCAAGGTTCTCTAGAATTTGCACAAAATGCTAGTTCTAGATTCCTTATGTGGTCATTTGAATTGTTGTTGCAATTGATTGAATCTTGCAGTACTTCAAGAAGATAGAAAGTGTTGGTACATTGCATTTCATTTGTTCATTGCTTCTTTTTTTTTTGAAATGTAGGACTCTCTTACAGCTTTCTGTCCTTTTGACTTGTTGGATTTGTTACTCAATGTTCATTGCTACCATTTTATCACAGAATTGGCTATTAAAAATTTGCAGGACAGTGCATACTAATGTGTGATACTGGACATTGATGATAAGGGTTGTGAGTAACTCAAGCCAAACATGTTTATACAAGTTGAAATCTGTTTCTGCAGTGAAGTCATGCCAACATGTTTAAACAAGTCGAAATCTGTTTCTTATGTTGCTCCATTTTATTTATGAAGTTTAATGTTCGTATATTTTCCCCTACGAAGAATTGATTGACACAAATTTGATTAAGGATAATTTTAATTTGTGAAGAAAGAAAAAGTATCCCACTTTACATGTGAAGAAAATGATGTTATGAAGTACGCTGCTCTTACATTATTGGAATGAAAAAACTTTTACTAGGAACTACTCTATTGATGAAAAATCAGGACCCCTGCAATCTTGAGCATGGGCTTCCAACATATAAACTCAGCCACCCTTGATGTTGTTTGGAAAATCCTCCAAAAAGAAGCCTACACAACAATGTGTTTTGGGGATGAAGACTATGAGGACCTTTTCTTATTGTATTTCTCTCTATTCTTAAAACTTTTCCACAATTTATTTATTTCACTTCTCCTTGAGCAAAGTTGCATGACTAAAACCGGTAAAATATTTGTACTTTCAACATGATCTGGGAGTTGCGAGGTGGCAGTGCTACTTTTCAAATTTGAAGCTCCTTCTCCTTATTATAGTTTTATGATTATTTGCACAACAAGCTATCTTTTGAAATATTGGTAATGTTCATTGAAATTTGAAAGCTCTTGTTCTTCTTCATAGTCGTATCATTAATGTTCATTAAAAGTATCCATCACATGTAATCACCCATGTTGGATGTTTATTTTATTTTTCATTATTTTTATTTTCAGATTTTTATCCAGAAAGGCTTAGCATAGTTTTCTCTTATAGGCTTAACATATTCAAAAGATTGATCAAATAAAGAAAATTTATGTCCCTTTCTAATGATCCTTTTGTGTGTCTCCTAATAGAGGAAAGTGGTCAAGTTCACCTGGTGGACTATGGCATATGTGTGCAGCAATAATTTCCACCACCAATTGCATGTGTTGATGGAGTTGAAGTCCGGTGCAGGGCTGGCATTTAGCAATGTCAAATATCACATGTGGTCTACATCCCAATTACTATGAGGATTTGCCTGTGGAGTTCCTTGCGGTTTGCGTAAGCTATGAGGGCTCGCTTGAACATTCCCTGTTTCATAATTATGGAATATTCTTTCCTAACATTTGACTTCTTTAAACCCTCTCTCTCTCTCTCTCTCACACACACACACACACACAGGCTCTGGCTGGGCTAGTTCGGTGTCAAACTTTGAAGATTACTTTCACATCCTAACCTTGGTTGTTTTCCTGATTCTATTTTGATTGGTGAGATTTGGGGTTTTGAACCCATTTGGCGGTGTAGCAGCCGTTTGTTTGAGAGATATCCTGGCTGTTTGCTTCTGTGAGGAAATCGGGCTTCCAAGCTGTATTACCTGAAAACCATGACAGATTGCTGCCACTTGTCTTGCCTTTACTTTTGTATACAATGCGGTGAACTTGCTCACAATGCAGCCACTGAAGCTGAAGGCCACAACCTGTTTACCTTGTTCCAAGAACTTGTAAGTTTCTAAATCTCCATAATCCTTTTCCTTTCTCTTTTACTTTTTCCCTTTATTTCTTTTTGGCAGTTCAATTGGGATTTACAGCATTGCATCTATCCTAAATCCGTATTACCAAGAAACACGAGACAGGTTAAGTTTCGTGTGACAAAATGTTTTGACACATGAAACTGACATGTCATGCCCAAACAAGCTGCAGACCCATCTCTTTATGGACTGTCTGGTATTATATGATCTGTTTTGACACATATGGACAAGATGTCTAAAAAGTAAATATCTTATGTGGGACTCAAATTAAGGATCTATTGATTAGTAGTCCAAGGAGCTAATCATTAGTTTAGAGGACATTAAGGTGGTCGGAAATTTCACATTTTATTAATATAAATAAAACACAAGTCATTCTTTTGCAAATTGGGATTAAAACAAGGAACATCTAAAACCAAACTATATAATCCCATCTTTGACAACATTTTATCCATTTTCTTCCTAAATTATGTATTTCGAGAGGGTGGAGTTAGCGTGAGGCCACAGACTTACCATAGAAAGTAAACTGCGTCTCAAAACCTGCCAGTTCCGGCACCAGAAACTCCTGTGATGACCTAAAAGACTATTTCTGGCCCTGATTATGAAATTTGATGTAAACATTTGAAAATGGATGGTTGAGATAATGTGTTACTAGATACACCATTTTTAGGGTTTGAAATCCATTTTTTTCTAGATTTATAGTTGTCGAGGCTGAGATGATATTTTGATGGTTTTCCAGCTCCAGAATAGTAATTTCTGGCATGGTTTAATCTATGGGTTCAAAATTCAACAGCCACACGTGAACCTTTTCTTCTTAAGATTTACATTTGCACATATTACCTTTCTAAAAGGACACTCTAGTCTTTCTATTCATAGTAGATTATACATTAAGCTTAAAATACTCCCTTTATATTTGCTCAAAATTCAATTTTAAGATCAAATACATGATTTTTCTCCCCTTTTTCTTAGTTGCTTAAATTCTTGTTTGTTTGCAGTTAACTATGTAGTTACATAGAAAACAAAATAAAGAAATACACACACACACACACACACACATAGGTATAAATTTCACTTGGCAAGAATTTCTCCTAAGCATCATTTTGGACACAATGACGACAATAAATAACTGAAATAATCAACAAAGACAGACTAATAATTTCAATTGTGATTTTTTGATATTCATCAATTATAAATAAAGATTAATATTTTGAAATAGATTATTTAGAGTAACTAATTATATCTTTAATTTTATATTTTTATATATTTCATTATTTTCATCGTTCTTACAATCTTTTATATCTTATATGATTTTTTCTATTATGATGTTAGTTACTTGTGCGGATGATTAGAGTCCGTTCTTGGTTTTGGATCCTCATGTCTAGAACTTCAGACATGTTTAAGTAACTGACACCCGTGTCAATGTCTATGTAACATAGTCCTAGACACAATCCCAAGGGGTTGAGGCTAACCTACTCCTTTATAATATTGATAATAACATATGTTTTACAAAAAGCCTATGGGTTGTGGGTATAGGCATTCCACAGGTTAGTTGCTCTTACAAAAAAAAAACCTATGTATAAAAAGTGTAGTAAGACGATGTGGGAGAATGTAGGCGTGGAAGAGGAGGAGATAGGGATGAGAGAGATAAATGGGGATGAGTTAGGTGTGAAAGCGGTGGAGAATATTGGGGTGAAAAGAAGATGGGGGGGGAGGGCATATTTTAGTGAGAGAGAATGGCAAGGGGCATTGAATAGATTAGAAGAGGAAATAAGGATGACAAGTTATGAAAATATAGGGGTCAAGGAGAGTGCAGAGAGGGGGATAGGAAGGATGGGAGATAGAGGTAGGGAGAGATAGGGGGGAGAAGGAAAAAGAAAAGAGTAGACAGAAGTGAAACCAGAAGAAAGCAAAAAGAAAGAAAAAAAGAAAATTAAGAAAAATATGAGAAGAGAGGGACAAGAGGCGTATTATCATAGAGATGGAAGAGGGGCAGAGTAAGAAGAAAGGGAAAAAGGCCAGGAAAAATATTGTTCATTGGCCTTGTGCTTAGATTGAGCTGGATTGTGCCCCCTGCTTGACAAACAAGTCAGTGATTGCGTTCTTCTCCCACCAGGTATGCTGGAAGTCAACTTGTAATGACCAGCAAAGGAAAGCAACATGATTAAATATATGGGTTAGCCGCCAAGGGGATCAGTAGTTTTCGATCCCCATGTGTGATAAATTTACAGAATCTTCCTCTACAATTGAGTGAGGCCCCCCTCTAGAATTGGATCTTTTGAGAGCCTTGAGCAATGCATTGTCTCAATCCAATTGAATCACCGTAGCCGATGTGGATGGAGATAGAAGGGAGATTGTTTTCATAGGAGTCTCTGAAGATTCCTCCCACTCAATTCGAACCCAGGTTTCGTAGAGAGCAACCAACAATGTTTACTTTGATGGCGAAGGGATCCAAGCACTGGAGCTCGAGGTTTTGAATTTCTTTGACCTTGCTAAGTCTAACCATTTGGTCTCGCAGTCCAATCTTGCGAACCTTTTAAATAGTTACGCAGCTGCTAGCCCATAAAATGGTGAGTGATCTAGCCTTTTCTGCTGTTACTGTTGCACTGCTCTTGACCTCCCAGGAAAGTTGAGAGTTGCACTCTTTCCAAATCGACCATAAAGTTTCTTGGATGGAAGTTCTCCATAAGAACAGTCAAGTCGAGGAAAAGGGTGGAGATAGTATGGGGAAAAAAGAGAGTTAATGGTTGGAGGAGTGGCCCACTGGTAATTGAAATCCCTCAGATGTTTGTTCTAAACTTGTTGCGCGAAGTGACTGGCTGAAGAGGTGAGAGTGAGACTTCTCTTCTTCTTTGCACAGGTGGCATCTGTTTGCAAGATTGAAACTCTCCTTTAGATTTGATCTAGGGTAAGATTTCGATTTGAAATGGTAAGCCAAGTGAAAGCTTGGATCTAAATTATAGTTATGAAAATTTATTATATGTTGAATCTTGTGTGCTCCAATGTATTCTACAAAGCGCTAATGCAAGCTATTACTTTTTGGGTTGACTCATGCCTCCCTCTTTGCCCGACAATAACAGAAGAGGAAATGTCAATATTGTAAATAGTTATTTGAAAATATAGACTTTTGAAAGAGTCAGGAAGAGAAACAGAGAGCCATCTTTGGTAACCTTTGTGATCATGCATTGCTCTAGAAGCCTTTAAGCATGTTGTTGAAGTTTAAATATTATGTACAGTGCCATTTATTAGCTGTTTTACTGTAAAATTGTTCGTTTGTATTATCTCAACTATGGCCAAACTTCTAGTGAGTGAATTTCATTCTTCTCATTGAGGCCATGATCATTATTTGAGCCTTATCCCAACTATTTGGGGCATTGATACTAAGATGTATTAAAATACATGGCCTATTTGTGAAATGATGGTTTGTGTATTTTAATTTTGGAGCGTATGTTTTCTATCCTTGTTATCTTGATTATGCCATAATATAAATATGGTAAGTTTTCATAGTGAAACAGAGCTTAAGTGATCGTGTTTTTTGCTTTTGAATGCTTGAGTTCGTTTATTTGCTGGAGGCATCAAAATTCGTTCACTGGTCCTTAGAGGACCAAAAATTTCTAAAACTAGAAAACACCATACATGTCTTCTATTTTATTCATAATGTTTAGTTCTGCAGTAACTGAAACACAAGCAAAATTTGATAAATAAAAAAATATAATTCTTGAAATTTGGATTATTGAACGTTTGGTCAAAATAAACTCCTCTGTGTTCAATTTCTATTAATAACTCATGGAATTCATTAGTTCAAAATTTTTAGTAATCGTCATGCATCTTTTGCCAAGATTACGTTCCAAACACGGCATACTTAATATGGAAATGGCCTAACTTCATTGGAAACAAGACAAATTTCATGAGGTTATTCCTCAAATATTTGCTATATTCCAAAAAAAAGTACAATATGGAGGGAACATGTCAAGTATTGGTATACATGTAGTTGACAATATGAGAGAATTTGTGTGTGCGTGCATGCTTGTGTGTGTGTGTGTGTGTGTGTGTGTGTGTGTGTGTGTGTGTGTGTGAGAGAGAGAGAGAGAGAGAGAGAGAGAGAGAGAGAGAGAGAGTAGTTAGTTTAGTTTACGGTTACGAAGGAAGAACGTACGTACTTAACTAGTTAGTCGTACTTAGTTTACGTCGTTCCGTTCGTGTAGTAGTTAGTAACGTAAGTAGGTAAGGTAAA